TAGACAAGTAGGAAGTATAATGAAGCACAGAAAATATGATTACCATTAGTTTTTTTATTAAGAATGATGATCTTATCTTACATTTTTATCCAACAGATGTAACATTGCCATATAATCCCATAAGAACCAATGGGGAGTTGAATGTTTTCTTTATATATCCTTAAACTGTTACATGTGTGAAGGTTAAATAAAAAGTGACTGCTAATCCTGGAAATAAAGGCTCTACGGAATGTGAACACTTACTGGATTTAGGTTTGGATTCTGCCAAACCTAAATGTTTCATATCAAAGCATTTTTATTTCAGATAAGAAAAAGTAGAACGTGGACAGTCGGTTAACTGAATCACTATACAGTCCACTATATAGTCCCCGCTCTATAGTGATTGAGGGACATGGCGGTTAGGGCAGACATTTCGGCACAGTAAGCTTGTATGAGCTATGAGAACAATACATTTTAAACAGAGTGTGCATGAGGAGAAATGGGCTCCTGCATGCCATCGCAAGCCCCTTTTTGTAAAGTGAAGGGGGTGGGACTTTTAAAAAATTTGAAAATGAGAAAATCCTCCACAATATAGCTACATTTTGTAATAATTACAGATATTTACTGACAGAAATATAATATGCACGAGTATGTTATTTATTATCATTGCAGAGCTTATTTGTCATGATGGGTTTTTAAGGTTAGCCCACTTGCAGAACATCACTCAGAGGCACGGTAAAAGTTAAACAGTTTATTGTAGGTTCGGCACTCAGAAAGACAAACAAAGGTGTTTCTCTGAGAGACTAAATTGGGTTTTCTCAGCTTGGGGAACATCCAGCGGTCTGGTGAAACGGAAGCTATAGGAGGAGATCAGAGTGATGAGTTCAAGGTCTGTGGGAAAACTGGCCGATGTCTGAATTCAAGGGGTGGCTTGGACTCACTGTGGTTACTTGGGGGTGTTCCACAGTTCCCATTTGTTGAGGCCTGCTCTGTAGATAGTGTTGTTCGTTGGAGGGCAGACAGGCAGACTATGGTGGTCCTGAGGAGCAGCTGAGCAGACTGTCACAGTGATCCTGAAGTGAAGCGGTGTTCAGATGCAACATTCCATGCAGGACCAGCAGGTTCTGTAACAGCTTTCTCCCC